TTACCGTAGAAAAATCAGAACCGTAAAATTGGATGGTTAGGAAGGCTCGAGTGAGTAAAGAGAAAAATGGAGTTCTATAATATCTGAACATACTTGACATGATAAATAAGAGTCAGTTAATTCGTAATCGACGTAAAAAGCTTTCGAATTTGTAAAGAAGATTTTTCCTCTAAGTTGATTATAAAATATTTGGAAAAGATATTTTGACAATGTATCGTTTGTACGTTCAGTATCCTACGTTGAATGATCTTTCAAATCAAAAACAGAAATGTCGAATCCTTTCCTCTCCGACATACGGCGTGCGCATTCGAGATAAGCGAGATTTCCATGTTTGTTTCGTTTCGTTTCGCGTAATAAGCCTCAAGTCACGTACACGAGTGGAAGACTCAACGTCGTGTATTCTCTGCTTCTGTAAGCTTTTCACCGGTCCGACGCACATAAGTATCCCACATTCTACCTATTTACAGACAGCCGTAAAAGATATTCCGACACTTTTTGACGTTGAAAAATTGTTTTTTCTTTTTTTTTTTTCTTCTTTTTTCCTTTTTTTTTGTTTATTTTCAAATACGAACAAACAACTAAAATGTACAACAGTTATGAAAAAAATTCACGTAACGTATATATGATAAATTATGTCCAAAGATTTATTCGATAAACAATTCGGAATAAATATTCATTGAAAATATATTATCTGGTCTGAAGAAAGGTAAAAGATTTTAGAAAGTATTCAAATATTTTGTTTTTATCTATTCCGTACATGTATACTTACATCACTTAACTGTGTTCACAAATTTCGTATCCGTTCCAACTATACATTTTTAATAATTGTTATTTGTTATATAATATAACAATAATCTATTTTAGGATTATTAAACTTTTAATTTTATATCAATTTTATTGCAGAAGAACTTTTTATTATTAAAGACATATAATTTGATTGAAATAATAAAAAATTGATCTGCAGTCTTTAATTTTTCCTTTAACTCTTATAATTCTTTTCAAACGATTGGACATAACTTATGAGACCAATCTTATTTTATCGATAATGTAAAGTTTTACTATATTTCTATAAAAAAAAAAATACTCTTTATCAATAAAATTTATATCAATATAACAGTTTAATAATCCTAAAAAAAAAAAAATATGTTTCCATGTATAAAAATTTGGAAATATTGTATTACAAGAAAATACTGATTGTTTTAAATTGACATAATACAAATACTCCTGCGATTCGTTGTATATAAAGAATGAAACGTTCGATTTTCTTGTATTTTACGTTCAGTATTTCTTCGAAACCATTGATAAGTGTAAGGATACAAGGAAATGGAAATCAGAGGAAGGAATATCCGTAGAAAGTTCGTTCAAGCGTAGCGAGCCGTACGAAGATATCATTAATCTTACGTGAAATGACAGATTGTTCGCGACGCGACGCAACGAAACGAGAAGAGATCGTTAAAAGGTAGCTTGTCGTTTAACATTGGAAGCAACGTTCAAGAAAATCTGATGCATAAATCGAAAACGAATGATTGATCGATCGATCAATTGATTGCAAGCAATGCATTTAATTGTCGCTGATGTAGAAAGTGTTGTTAGAGAATGACAAGATATAATTGGACGAAGAAGAAAGGAATAATAATTAATTTTATTATCAATAATATTTATATATGCCAAACATCTTGTTAGTAATAATAATTGAATGAGAAATTATTAATTATAATTTTTAATTTACGACGTTGTCATAACATAACCGTTATTGCAGAGAATCTTTGGAGGATGTTGTGTTCTCGTTTTTTTTTTTTCATTAATATAAGAAAACAGATTAATAGAAAATGGGATCGCCGTTACTCGTGTCTATAATAAGATTAATTGCAAAACCATCGAATTACAATTTACTAATTCAACTGACTTTAAATTTATTTCGGATTTAACTCGAATTGATATACCTATGTTGTTTCATATCTCCGATTTGACGATAATATACAGGTACACGCGCCAATGCAATTACTTTCTTTCGACGGATTAACGGAGTTTGATAAGAAATTATAGTCAACCCTATTATAACTCTGTTGATTTGTTGCTAAACCTAAAAATAGTATACATGAAAGGAAATGAAATTTGTATCAAAGTGTTAGGTAAAAACTTTGTCATAATTTGTCGTAATTTTTGTACCGTGTTATAAAAGAGTTAAGTGTACTAGCATATAAAAACATATAGGTATATGTATATATATATATATATATATAAATAATAGTAAATATTTAAAAGAAAAAAAAAAGAGAACAATAAAAAAATAACAATGAAAAAGACCGTATGATGAAAATGAATTATTTTCGAATCGAGATACGATGATTGTTTAAAATGTAGTGTATAAAAAAAAAAAGAAACAGATATAGATAGTTCGAAAGAATGAAAAAAAAAAGAAAGGAAGAGACGGCAGGTATATTTCGTAATTTGACTTATCATTATCGGAAATCAAAGAACGCGTATACATCTACGTCGCGTGGTCCAGCACATCGAATGAGATGAAGAATCACCTCTTTGTCGACAACACTTGACCATTGGATCTTTGATGGACGCCGACTTGGTGATGTTCGCGTTTCTTTTTCCCTTGATCGAGGTGGATAAGAAAAAGAAGAGTGTTAACTTCGTATGTTCGTTCCTATGACGAGCGTGCCGATAAATTTCCTGTCCTTGATGACTCGTCAATAACGTGTCTAATATCTAACGAACAATAATTTGAAAAACACTCGAGTCATATGATTTCCTGCGATTTAAAGCAGACCTAGCAAGTTTCTTATTATTAGATATATCTCATAGAAACTAGTACGTTTTTATATCAATTACCATTAACAATAAGTTCATTAACTATAGTAGTAAATTACTATCTTTATACAAAAGAAACTAAATTTGTAAATCCATTGAAACAACTTCATTTTTACTGATATCGTATACAATTTTTGATACACAATTTCAATGAAATTTTAAAAAAAAAAAAAACTAACATGTATTAGTTCTAGAGAAAAATAGTTGTCGTGATATTAATTAAATATTTGATATTTAACTAATTTGGTAAGAATTATTGGAACTTATCAGTAGACTTGTTGTACCTAGTAAGACACAAAATCTTTTGTTGGTAATATAGATTTCTATATGTTTAAGAAAAAGTGGCTAATGTAGATCTCTGTATCTATCTTCGAAAAATATAAAATGTTAATTTCTTAAATGCTAAAATAGTATTATTAAGTAATGTACGCTGTAATAATTTAATAATAATATTTATTAAGTAATAAATACTTCTTTGTACATTATCTTTCTTCTTAAATATGAAGATCGCTAATAGATGGCAATAGTAGCTCTATTAACTTACCTTAAACTCACACCATAAAAATATCACAAAAGATAATATAAACAATGATACATTATATGAAAAAATTATAAAATAAAACAAAATTTGGATAAGGTATTATTAATTAAATATTAGAATCGTTTATTTACAAGAAATTTAACTATCTGAACAAATAAAAAAAAAAACAAAAATTCAGGAAAAAAAAAAATTTAAACAGAGCTGTAAAAATTAGCGTTATTTCATTTATACACAAAGCACATAACGATCAGCTAAACGAAAATTTTTAATATATCACGATGAATTCTAATGAATTACAATCTAACTTAAAAAGCGATTCCGTTTCACGGAATAATAAAAAATATATATTTCTATGCAAATAACAAAATCGGTAGTTGTCGGTAGTAGTACTTTTGATAAACGTTTCATAGCAAGCTTTGCCATGAGGTATCATCGAAAAATCTTCTTAACATCGATCAATGAAAATGCAAACTAATCGTTTACCGTAAACGATCGGAAGTCGATGACTCGAAGAATTTAAAATGAATAAGCATCATTGCCACATAATTCAATCCTATCATCTTAATAATACTCAACTAGTTTTACTTGAGAAATGATATACTTAAGATATAATACGAGTGTTATATATGAAAAAAATACTCAAATTTCAAGAAAAAATATCTTTCATCGAAATTCTTTCTTCTTCGGTAAGTCTTGTTTGACCTTCGGCAAGGTCCTCTTTCATTTCGCAGAAATGGTGTAAGACCCGTCACACGGAATGCGTGACTCGACGATTTTATAACTCGCTTTCAATTACCGTTCTCATTGCTCTTGTTTTCCTCTCTTTCTCTTCTTTCCTTTATTTCTTTCTTTCTTTCTTTCTCGATGTTGGATGCTGCACGAAAAAAAAAAAAGGAAAATACGAGCGAGCAAAAGGTACTTACTTGCGCGAAGGGCTCTCTAAGTGCCACGTTAGACTTTGTCGCCGATTCTTTCTATCTTCTTATTCTTCTTTACCCATAAGAACTGACTAACAGACGTGATTTATTCTACCTTGAACACGTTGAGTACACTCGATGAACGAAAGAAAAAGAGAAAGAGATAGAGAGAAAGTGGTCTAACATTAACTACGAGTCTCGAAGGTCAATGAATCTTTAAAAGCTTCGATGATATCTCCTGTCTCATTCTAAAAATATACTACGTGTAACGGAACAAAAAAAAAGATTTGCCTTTAATTTGGGAACAAAAAAAATAATATATATATAAATTCTCTATCGACGAGAGAAAAATGATTCAATAAAGTTCGTCGAATCAGAAGTAATGAAAATTTTATTATCCAATTCAATGAATGATCGATTAGCTTTTATTCAATTGATAAATTGATTTATTCTATAGTAAATAGGATATGAGGATTCGATCAGCTTCCGTTCATGATTCAAGTTTCGTATTAACGTTCATTGATTTTCTTTTCAGATACGATGATGACATCGCTAGTCTTTCTGGTTCCCATATTGGTCGGGGTAACAGCAGCTCCATTTCAACAATCACCTGACAATCGATTGTCTAAACAAAACGAAGGATTACTTCCTTTTATCTTGGAAACCCTGATGACTGATGATAATAACAATAACGAGAATAACGAAGGGAATGAAAGTAAACCAAAGAAATATTTTGAAAATGATATTACAATGGACAGTGGTAGTCCTCTTTCGTCATTTTTAAATCAGTATCAAAGAAACGAAGGAAAAACGGAAGAAGAAAACGAGGAAGAATTAATGGATAAGGTTACGAAAAAAAATAGAAAACATAAAGCCATTTTCATGGATTATCCATTGATATCAAAATTGCGACAAACTTATCCTAACTCGCCAGCCAACGACATCGGTTATAACGATATTTACGATCCTAATGTAGAAGAAAAAACAACGAGTAATACGGGTGAAAAGTATCACGAGAGCAATATCTTCTACATTAGACTACCACCGACTCCCTATATGTTTGTACCAGGTTTAGGATACATTTCTCAACCACCAACCTACTCTACTGCCAACCTGAGACCGCATATCCCTCAGTCGAAACCATCCAGACCACAAGTTCAAACTTATCGGAGACCGAATCCTTTTATCAAGTTGCCGATAGACTTTGTGAGCAACGGTAAGCCAACTTCCGTCTATCATTGGCAAAAGAAGAAACCTCTGACCAACGTCAAACTAACAACCGACAGTCCAATCACCAATCTCGACGATCTCAAACCCGGTTTTGTGAATAACGGTAAGCCAACGACTATCTATCAATGGCACACGAATCTGAAACCTGGCAAGAGGCCCGACAACTACGTCAATAATCTTGACAAGGGACCTTACCTATTCAATGGGAAACCAATCAGTTTGTATCTTCTTAAATCAGACGGTACAAGTTCCGATCATCAGCCAATTCGATATTCCGATTTCGAGAATGATAATTCGTATTAAAACAAAATAATGTGCTGAAATTATGAATTTCAATCGCCGAACTTACCGGAGAAATTAAAAAGAAATCAATGACCGTTAATATTATTATTATTATTATTATTATTTTTATGATAATTATCACCATTATTAATATTAATATTATTATTATTACACGTGAATGGTGGAAATCTGCTACTAATTTTACAGCTTAAAGCGCGACTCGTAACGCATCGTAATAATTTATCGACCAACCCTCCTCTATTGAGAAGGGAGGAGGTTCGTTCAGTGATTTATGTCTCGTCGATGACCTTGTAAAGGTGCTAGCCATTATTCCGCTTTCAAATGGACTATGCGGTTCGGTGTGTACAGTAAACGAGGTGCCAGTAGAAAGTAACGGTAATGTAATTAAAGCAGTCCTTTTAAAGGTGGCTTATTATGTAGTTGTATGTAAGAATGATCAATTAATGAGTTCTCACGCGTGAATATCATTCACTTTTATTTCCTTGTCTTCATAATATTAAACCTATGTTTTCATTGACGATGAACATTACCAAGTGGACAATTTGTATACGATTAATATAACACCATTATAATATTATCTATTCCTAATGAGTCGAAGTTATATGCGTATATGTTGTATGTTGTATGAATGGTAGGTATATAAGTATGTATTTGTTTTCTTTTTATACGAAAAATTGATAGCAAAGTACTATAGCGTGTAGTAGTGAAATGTGTAATTCTTAAAAACCTTTCTATAGAATACTCTAAATAATAATTTTATATTATAATTATTATATATAATTTAGGATTGACCGAGTGATCATTAAAGTGAACGACTATTTTATATATTTTAGCTGTCGATGTTAAGTTATTTATTTAACGAACATGCTATTCCTCTCTATCCTTTTTTTTTTATCTAGTATATATTATAAATAAAATTTGTCGTCTCGTGATTATGTGTATGTAGAATATATTAACAGGGACGACGTTGTTGTAGCCATTTTTTAACGTCCTACCACTTGTTTTAACTGTTGCTGTAAATAAATAGAAAAGACAAAAAAGAGAAAGAAATATATTCGTAATATAAAAAGAGAAACGCGCTCGCTCTCTACCCTCACCCCTTGCCCATTTTCTTATTCGTTTTCCCTGAAATTCCATTTGACTATCTTCTTTCTTCTTTTCTTGCTTGCTCGTTAGCGTCTGAAAGAAAAAAAAATGGAAGGAGACAGAAAAATAAACAATCTTGCTGCACATGTTTCATCCACTCTCCCTGAACGTAGTGCAAATATTGACTTGGGACTAGGGGGCCCAGGATACGGCCCGTTTACTCATTACCATCCCACATACCTCCTGGACCAAATTACATGGTTAAGAGGATTCCGTACTAAGATTATTAGTCTTCTATTGTCTTCAAGTCAAACAATTTGTTTGCTTCTTTTTGTTTCTTTCTTTCTTTCTATTTCTCTTTTTTTGCCAATTACGATTTAAACGAACAATATGTTATCATTTAGAGACTCTTAAGATTGTTCATTATTAAACCCAACGATATATTTGATAAATGCATAATTATAAATGAAAACAAATTAAATCCGTTTAGAAACGACGATAGACGAATAAAATAAATGAAAGATTATAATCATTGACAGTCTTGTAAGTTAGAGAAGAAACAAGACACGTGTTTCTAATTAAAAATTTGCCGATTGGTCAACACAGATAAAAGAACTTCCCTCTTGAAATTCGACAAATGGCCATAAAAGAGACCGCTCTTTTTCTTACCCTTTCCTTGAGCTTTCTTTTTTCTTTTTTTTTTTTTTTTCGTCCACTTCTCTTTCTTTCTCGGTAATCAGGCTCGAGTAGAAATTTTCTTGCTGCGTTAATACCGAAGAAAAACTTGTTCCAGCAGGGAATTTGAATTTATACGGTCAATTACCGAAAAATATGCGCCCAGGGGAGGTGGAAGGGAGGAAAGGGGTGGGGAGGGGTCGGGGGCCCGGTCGGGGTCTCTCTTTCGTCGTTCTTAGCGCGGTACTGCTTTCTGATATTATCGTAAGTATGCTATAACGGGTTGCAAACAGTGGCTCTCATTTAGGTTAAGAAAACGAAAAAGTATCTTAATATTATACACAATATATAGAAAACAATTTGTTGTTTAAGATTTCTACAATTGTCTTTAATTATGACGCATAGCCAAAAAGTCTTGCTTTCGTTTTGAATATAAGGGACGATCATCGTCATACAGTTTTGATAATACGATATTGTTTCTTTAATATTAACGGTGTATCTGTGTGTATTGTTCGTGTACATATGTATGTATATGTAAATTATTACATAATCATTATAATGTACTTTACTTATACAGCATGTGTGTGTGTGTGTGTGTAAAGTATTTAAAAATGAATATTAATAATAATTATTATCAAAACGATGTTAACAAAGAAATCGAATATTTTCGTAAACGTAACACGTACATGTTGGGATTGACTAATCGATGAAAAATTAAAAGTACATACGTAAATAGAAAAATAGGTATGCCTATTAATAAGTAACCAGTCGAAATAATAATGTCCATTAATACATTATTATAGGGTTATGGAAAAACAACTTAACGCGAAATAACGGATTGCACCCATCAACGCGAGATATAACGGAGAAAACGAGCCAATCATCATGTGTATACATCACATGTTTTATCTCGATAATACATAGACAGATATTTAGATACGTATAATATTACTCTTAACTTTTTTGCGAAGGAACAAAACTGTGATCGAACACACGATTTAATATTATTATTATATTTATACGTTGTATTATTTCTTTTTCACGACATGGCTCGTTTGTGTTAAGTTTGCTTCTTTACGGCATGTATACATATATTAGTATATATATATATATATATGTACGTGTATGTATGTACTACATATGTGTTTTCATTTCTGTGGGATCCATTTCTCTTATCTCTTTGTATGTTCTATAATATAAGAATATAAAAAAATGCGATCACTTGTCGCTCTTTTATTCTTGCAATTCGATAGTAAAACCAGTAATAATGAAAGATCCTTGCGCGATCAGACGTAGAAAAAGATGTGCATACCTTTCATCGAAGAAATATATTGTCCAGTCTTTAATCGAGGCATCATCCGTACGTGCGATTTTTTCGTGATTGCATATTTGCTTTTTTCTTCTTTTTTTTTTTCTTTTTTTTTTTTTTTTTTTTTATTTTTCCTTTTTTTTCTCCTTTAAATCAAGAAGAGATCGCTCGCCGGTGAGCGAAGATATAAAAAAGTATTCGTTATACTTAGAAAAATATAATTATACAGCGTTAATCTAGTAACGAGAAGTGAGCTTTGACATGAGTTCTTACTGAAAAGAAGAAACACCCAAGTTTAAATCTTATTCCGACGAGAGAACTTTGAAAAGATGAATCAATGTCGAAATAAGATCTTACGGGATTTGATAAGTGCGTCCGATTAGTTTCAAAATCGATCGATCTTTTCTATCGATAAAATCAAACCCATACTTTTTTTTTATTATTAATTTATCCCTTGTATTTAAATGATTTATATATAGTATATTTAAATAACTATCTTATTGTTAGTTCGATCAAAAAGTTGTATGTGTAGTATAAGAAATAGTAATAATGAGTAAGATGTAAAATAATTTGTATTAAAATAAAATTGAATGTATATTATTATCGATCGATTTCGAAACTAAAACGGATGCAGATGTTTCTGTGTTATGCACGTAAGTTTATGTACGAGTTAAACCTAATCTATCTTAAACGTAAGTTCCACCCGCCGAAGAGAGAATCGTCTCCGACCTAAACCTAATCTGTTCTAACATTAACTGCGATAGAAATGGAACGGTTTGTAGGATACGCATGACCTTGAATAATGATTGACCAGACATCGATACGGAGGTCATAGTCTAAGTCTCTCTCTCTCCCTCGTTCTTCATTATTTCCTTTAAACGAACGACCATTCGCGATTCTGTTTAACCAAAGAGTATCAAAGTGGCGAAGATTAATCTACTAAAGTTAACAGACTCCTCAAGTCGTTCCTGGATTGTGCACGATTTTGCGAAGAACAATTTTGGAGATTAAGGAAGCAGGGGATGATAGTAGACGGGTTTACGACTTTTCTCCATTACATAAAACGCTTTAGGCTTTCCATTTCCTGAGAAATTCTTGTGAATGCTGGTAGAGCCTGTTTTGCTAGTTATCGGCGCGTAATAAGACATGGCTGCCTTTTTTCGGTGTTTCTTCACTTTCAACAAGCTATTCCTCGAGCCATGAAGCTCGTTGCTCAGATGAATTCTATGCATATTGGAATCGTCGAGCCTATAAGTCTTAGTCGCAATACTGTTCATGGTCATTTTGGTTGAATCTGATTTTTTATCAATTACATCGGGATAATTTAATCTCTTATCGTTATTTCTTATATGCTTAGATGTTGAAACCTTATGGGGTACAATCTTCTTTTTCTCCGTTTCTTCACGATGAGAATTGTCTATCACGGAATTGGCTCTATCGATGGGAATTGATTCCGATTGCTGATGTTTTTTGCTATCCTCAAGTTTCTTCCTAGCAAGATCCATTCTTATTTGTGCTTGGAGTCTCTTCTTCTCCGTGATCTTTTTAACCAATGGTAAGTTCCAATGATATATCTTAGCTGGTTTGCCGTTACCGTGAAAACCAACTGGAAGATTTGGTCCCGTTTTGATTATTTTCTCGTCCTTAGACGTTTTGTGAGGTTTTGTAATCGTGTAATACGGCGGACTGGCTGGTAATTTGACGATGTAAATATGACTGTCCCGATGGCCGTGTCGACGACTGTAACCCTGATGAATTCGTGTCTGGGAATTCAGTCCAGGCGGTTCGGGCCCGGCTAAACGTTTCTTGTGATGTCCATCGGGGATTTGAAGGGGTGCCAAGCCGAGACGATTCAAGATAGCTGCGTTACTGTTATGGACAGTCTCAAAGGACGATGAAGCATCCTCCGCGGCGATCGCAAGAATTCCAGTTGAA